TCATTATCTTTATCATTGCGAAGTTCTGCCTGCCTTTTCTCCTCTTCTATAGCAGCAGCACACATAGTTTCCTGTGCACATCCCTGTATTATTTTGCCAGTAGTTCGCTCACAAGAAGCAAAGGTCGAGTTGCTCATATACGGAATTTCCATGATGCTAAACTTTTCCTCCTCTTGTGAAAATCCACTGCCAGTAGATAACGCACCTAATACTGCAAGCTGATTTAGGCTGCTTTTCTCCATATCAGAACAAATTGTTGCCATTTCCCCACATAAAATTTTATCACATACATAGTTATATGTAGTGACAAGACCACGTCGAATCACTTTGTTAAAAATAAATGATCCTCCAAATTTACAATTTAGGGAATGTTGCTCTAATGTCCTAGCCTGCACTATTACAAAAGACATATTGCAAATTGTTCTGCCAGATGGTAATGGATTTGCCTTTCGTCGATCTTCCCTTTCGATAATTAAAGGTGAATCAGGACACAGAAATTCATCATTAAGGTTCTCCTGAAGAGGCTCAGACTCCAAGCTAAAATATATATATATACAATATATATACATATATATAATTAATATATATAAATATTACAAATTAGGTTTAAATTTGGCTTATTTGATGACAGCAAAGCACTTGATCTTCCTAAGAGGAGGAATGCTTTCATGGAGGACTTTCTAAGGGAAATGGCTCATATACACGGGGAAAACCATGAAAACGCCCATGCAGGCAGCCCATTCGCAATTAGGTTTAGGAAATTTAGGCAACAGATAGCAAATAAATTAACAATAATAATACACTGGATTACCAGTATATTACTACAAGAAGATGAGTCATCTTCACAACTGCTGCTTCCATGCTCGCAGTGTCATTTGCTCGTGCAATATTAGTCACTACTTTGTGTGCCGGAGGTTTCACATGAAGGGCCTCTACACCTGAGTATAAAATGTTCGTGTTCCAGTAAACACTGAATTCAGAGGGGCAAGAATAACTCTTTCATGGTGGATAACTCAGTTACCAAATGGCTTTCTAAGGCTCTATTCAAGCCGTTGTATAAATGTCATAATTCCCAACTAACAACGCTTTGTAGTCAGACCTTGCTATGTCACAAAAACTAGTTTGGGCATTAAGCTTGAAGTTTTCAACTTTGTGCCGACTTGATATAAGAGTCGGCCAATCAGAGCATATACATAAAACCTATTGAGAGAGAAAGCTGTAGACACATACATGCATGCACAAATTTAGCTTCTCTAATTGGCTATGGCTTAGACCCTCTCTCGCAGGTGTGAATGGAACTCCCACATTTTGTGCCTTATGATTATGCGTCTATGACATTTATACCATCATGTGAACGGAGCCTTAGGATGGCATACTAAGAAGATGCACTGTCTTGTGGGGATAAGCAATTTATACTCCTAAGCCTAAAAAAAAAAACTTGGAAAAAAAAGATCACGACTTAAATTTGTTGTCTAATTGCTCTAATTTGAGGCACATTATGAGAGGAAAGCAAAGGTAGTAATCAGAATTATTTAAAAAATTTTATCCTTATATTTTTCTTAAAAATTCTGTAAAATAATAAAATTTGTGGTTTTCCTCAAATAAATATATATGGAAAAAATAACAGCCACATAATCACAGATTTCATTTTGTTATATTTTATTAACAAAATTTAAATTATTAAAAATCTCTTTCATGAAGGGAACATAAAACATCATGAAAACAATGAAAAAGAAGCAATATTTAAAAAAGATAGTAGGCTTATTGATGAGGCTCCCATCAAAAGAATCAAACCCCAAAATATTTTCATTTGCTTCAGTGTCCCGACTGAAAATTTCACTGATTTCAATGAATATATTTTTAAAAAAAATCTTTTATTTTCAAGTTCTTTCATGCAAAACGTCCAAATTTGGTACAAATCAAATTCATCCCCCTCTTTTTGATAGCTACAATATTATATTTAACAGTTTTTAATAGCTATCAGTATGTAAACAACATAATGTAACACCATAAAAGAAAAACATAAATGATGACATTTTAATTTTGGCATAGAGAAATACATATTTACCCCAAAAGAGAGCTTGTATTTCTACCTTCTACGTCAGAGTCAATAACTGAAATGTCCAGATCAGAACTGAGAAGAAAAGAACCATAATTAGTTTAATTAAGATACAATAACACACCGACCAAGTATTAATTTGAGAGTCAAGCAACAAAAATCAGCATCATATTTTGAAATATTCACTATTTGAAAATATAACGCTGATTTTGGTTGCTTGACTTCTAAATTAATACATAATTAGTTAACCATAATTAAGTAACTGTAATATCATGCACAGCTAATATCTATTTTAAAAATAAACCAACTTACCTCAGGAAAGCCTGGTTTGTCTTAGGAACATTAGCTGTAACTTCTGGCGTAGAAAAGTCAAATTTTTCACTTCCGGACCTAAGAATGAAAGAAATAAACTGCTATAACATAATTAAAAAAAAAAAAAAAAAAAAAAAACATGAATAAATAAATAACACATAACAAATTTAAGCATTAAGCTATGTATGACTACCACCCATCTCAGACAGTGCGACAGATATTGCTGTATACTGTTTCGCCATACCCTGTGTAGCTATTATATCATGCTGTATAACCACAGTTTAGAAAAATTACAAAATGTGTTATTTATATCTATCTAAAATGGTACATTACTACATGATTTGTAAGAATAAATTAGAGGGCTCTGCGAATGAAATTCCTTCCAATTAAAAAATGTAGGAATAAAGAAAATGCAGGAATTGCAAATGCAGAAATGAAAAAGGGGATTATATTTTTTGTACAGAATCCAGATGACATATTTTTCAACATTTTAGAAATTTCAATATTAATTTTAGGGGCATAAAATATTAGGCCCCTAAAAGCAGAATATAGTTTTTAAATGTTCAGATAATCTTCCTATGAGAAGAATTCCTTTGAGAAGTACACATCTGAACCACAATTAAAAAACATGTACAAGAACAGAGCTGAGGACTTCTGTTTGCAGAAAGTCTGTCACATAACATATGAAAAGTTTCTTATTGGTAGATTTTTGATCAGACGGATATTTTAATGTTATACAGAGAAAGCATTCACTCCCTTTATACTGGAGATAATTCAATTTGGACAATGGCAAAAAGGCTAAGCAAGCCTGAGCGTATTGGTCCCATTCTTGGCACTAGTTTGGTTTACGCTCAAAATACACAGCAGATATTTTCTAATTACCTGCATCCCAATATCAATTCAATTCAGCTTTTGGTGGAATTTAACATTTGTGACATATTTTTCAAAAACTACACTTCACAACATGCATACATGACAAATACACAGAACCATAAATAAACAAGCAATAATATATATTTATATATAAATTTTACTAAATGATCATAAAATGTTCCAACGCTAAAAGAAAGTTTTAACATCCAAGTAAATGACATAATAAAAAAAAGCAAGTTGAACAGCGAGCACATGAATAAATGTGCATACACCTGTTAAAATATACCATAGGTAACTGACAAAGCATTTCGTAGCAAACATATGACTAAAATTTCCAATAATACATGTAATGATGGTGAATTCAATTTGAAAGAATTGAACAGAATTGAACAAATTAGCATCCCCTCATACACACACATACAAAAAAAAAAAAAAAAAAAAAAAAAAAAACTTACTTTGTAAAAAAATCATCCGGGCAATGATTCTCCTTTGACACAGATGCAGTTGTATCAATAATTTCTGACCTTCAATAAAAAAAATACGCATATTTTACTTCGGAATTAACTTACTACGAAATCATAAACACGGGGTAGTCGATATAAAGAATAAATTATTTCTCACCTTTCGAAAACATCCGCTTGTTCGGAATCTTCCACATCTCGGGAATTTAATTTCATATTTTTTTCTTGAGCTCGACGTTTACGCTGAATTCTGGATCTTTTATTAAAACCAGGATGTTTTTTCGGTCGTCCTTGATATTTTCGCATATTTTTTGCAAACTGACCACAGTACAAATAAATGTAAACAAAACGAGTGCGGAATAGCAATGCAATAGGGTTGCCGTAAACGTCATTCTGCTGACAGCTGACAATGTTTAGTGAAAACTGTGTATAAAGGAATATATGAAACGCTTCTAAATATTATTTAGAAAAAAATATGATTTATAACTGATATCAAAATCAATTACTTCGTGAATTTTTGCAGAAATAAGATTACAATGTTAAATTTTAACTCGTAGCGCCATCTATTGATGGCTTTCCAAAACTACACATTAAAATTACGTATTTCAAACTAATTTTTTTAAAATATAATATTTAAGTAAATTTCATTTCAAACCTGATTCTAACATTGTGATTCGAAAACTGACCTATTGCTTTATATTTCTGCCAAATTGCACGCAACATAGTTTCTTAATTAGCGATTCTGCGTGTAAAAAAATTTTTAGTATTGTAATGCTGCTGTAGTAGACCACCTTAACTGTATGTGGTACGCCAGCAGTGGAGTAGCGAGCATAACTGGCGCCCGGGGCAAAATACCTTTTTGGCGCCCCCCCTTTCCCGAAAAAAAAACACAGTGATATGATGAAAATCGTGTTTGGAGACCATTTGGCGACCCTCTGCGAGCGGCGCCCGGGGCATCATACACCCCCTTGCCCCCCCTCGCTACGCCACTCTGTACGCCAGATTTCAAATGAAAAAAAGAAGTAAAAAAAAAGCTTGAAACATTAGCAGGTAAATGATTAACATCATTTTTTATTTATACATCTATGAAATATAAAATTCCATTAATTTCCTTTCATAATAAAAACGTCATCTTATGTTACATCAATAGATTAGAAAAAATGATAGCACGATTGTTTATAAAAACGTCATCTTATGTTACTTCAATAGATTAGAAAAAATGATAGCACGATTGTTTATAGCTACAGTCGCTGAAGGAAGTGAAAACAGAAATTCCTGTCTGAAGGATACAAACACTCAACACCTTACAACTAACTGTCACTGCTAATATTGATTTGCCTTTGATAGCATTTACATGGAAATTTCTTGTCAATATCAATCAAATATTTCATCATTCATACTAACTGAGAATTATTCATTTTCTTTTAAATATTTGTAAAGTTTAGATTAGAGATATTTTCAGCTAGTGCCCTGAATGAGATTTAATTCTGAAAGTTTCTTTTTAAAATTCTTTGATATCGCGGGAACCTAGAAGTCTGTTGATTTTATTAGCCAATAGAAAGATCTGAAAATAACTGTCCAGTGACGCAATAGTTTGATCACGCTTTGAGGGAATGTTATTGTCATGGCCGTTAAGGTTAATTTGTGATTTCACGGCTCTGCAGAATATTTACTAATAGGAGTATTGTAAGCTGTCCTGTGCATGTTTTATTTACCACCGGTATCTTTTGTATGTACCTTTTGTTATAAAAATTCAAATCTACGATTTATGTCTTTAAATGCTACTTATGATGTTTCCTTATTATTTTACATGTTGTGATGATAGTGAAATTTATGCTCGGTATTAATTGTCTTTAAAATATTTGTAGGTTAGTATTCGAAGATGATTACATTACGCGCTGGAACCTATCTGTCTCCAAGCATTCCTGTAGAATATTATGAAATGATTCTTCAGTATCTGGAGTCCAAATTAGGTATTCATACAACATTGTTATATGAATCTAGATGGGAAGGGCCGAGAGGAGAAAGAGAAGATCCATTCATGTCTGGTTATTTAGATCTCGGTAATTCTATGTTAATGGTATATTGATGCTATATATATATATTAAATCGTAAAAGTGTTCTTTAAATGTGATTATTGAAGTAGTTTTATTTTCATACATTTTAGCCTGGATGAGTTCTACAATATTTTTGAGAATGAAGAAAAATTCTAGTCCTATTGAATTATTAAATGTTTCATCAGTTCATAAACATGCACGGGGAGAATCGCGGCCAGGATATTATTCAGATGTCATTATGCATAAAGATCTCAGGTAAAAAATATTCACTTAAAAATTTGTAGAAATATTTATTTCAAATTCTTGTATAATATAAGCCCAAACATTTGAGGCAGTATTTTTATTTATTTTTATTGCAAAAATTAATGATTGTTGATGATTTCTAAATAACTTCTATTTCAAAAAGGACCATTAAACATAATGCATAAGAAACAACATTATTAAAGAACATTTACCAACACCAGCACATCTTCAAAAATATAAACATTCTCTATACTCAGGCCAGATGCATTTAATCACTCTGGTAAAAATATATTTACAGGTGCCCCTTTGCCGCTACACAAAGCCAAAATAACAAGTCAAAGAATTGTACAAACTTGGCCTATTTTTAAGAGAATTTCACAAACTTGGTATTGCACACTCCCTTGACTTTGCCCATGTACACATTGATCTATTTTCACTTAAAAAGTCAAAGGAGTAGCCAACAAAAAATATATAATCTCAATAAACTATAGTTTAAATCAAATAACATAAAAAGGAAATTCATCTTAGCACTGTACAAAGGAAATATCCATTTACCTTATTTAGAAATTTTCTTGTCTTCAATCAAACAAAATTCCTAGCATCCAAAAACTTCCTAAAATTGACTTTTTAAAATTATCTGAACTAGAATCTGTATACTGGCATTGCCACATAAATTCACAAAGATAAGAGTTAAAAATATCCTACGTAGTGCCGGTATTCCCCTTACCGTTCGACCATACGCATTTCCTTCCTACAAACAGGACACTTATAATCGGCTGTGGAGTCGGTAGGTAAAATGATTAACTTCAACTCTGATTCTGACGCCTGGAATTTTAAAGACTCCGACTACCTCATATACAGTGACTCCCAAAAGTGTTCGTATATTTATGATTTTCATTGAAATAGGATTCTATACATTAATTAAAAGTAAACTTGGTACTTACGTATTATGGCAACCAGGTTGGCGCGATTTGTAAGTTTGAGTAAAAAAGTATGAATAGAAAGAAAATGTACATTTATTAATTACAGATAATTTTTAATACAGTTTTGTATATTATTTTGTTTTAAAGTATAAAATAGCAATTAAACCCTTTTGGTTTCGAATTTGAATAAGTTGCAGAATTATTTTTTCGGCGGAAATCTTTTGGTCTATTGCTTTTAGCACTGATTGAAAATCGTCTTCGCCATTAACAGCTTGAGCTTGGCGCCATATAAATTCGATAAGGTATGAGTCAAGATGATGACGGGCTGTTCCTCTCTGTTTTTTGTTGCGCCATTTGGCTGAGCCCCACATGCACTCTACATGTTGTGTGTGAACGCCTGTGTTGGGATCCACAAAGTTATATTTGTGATTAACAGTTCCATGCAGAAATCCAGCATTTTTTAACTCACTTGTATTGTATCCTTTCCAGCAATCCGAATAAATGATGCTTCCTTCCTTATTATTTTCGCAAATTTTTTCCATGAGGGTAATGGCGCTTCTGTTAGGTACAGTAACCAAAAAATTCTCTTTCTTTTCTCGGCAAATTCCGCTGAAAACCCATTGCTGTGGTAGTACACGCCCAGTGTTATTTTTTCTTTTTACAAATAAACTTTCGTCTATTTTCACAGTAAGTCCTTCGCCGCCTATTCGCTTTCTTTCTTTTTCATCCATTTCAAGGGCACATATCTCCCGCATGTAATTATTCCAATCTATAACAGTTTTGTCAGCAAACTACTATAACTACGTATAACACGTAGGGTTGTCGTAAGTAGTGTTGCCAAATTTGGCGATTTATGCGAATTTTGGCCTGGTTGCGTTAATACGTAAGTACCGTAAACTTTCTGAATGAGATTTTAATAATAAGACCTGTAATCTATTCATAACAAAAGTACATGAAATATTTTTAAAATATAGCGAAACTTTATTTTTCAAAAATTAATAATAAAAAAATGACAAACATTTTATCTCACAAAAGTCTTCGTACACTTCAAAAAAATCTTGACATATTAGTAAATATCTTCATTTTTCGTTAAATTAATACGTAATAGGATATTCTTTAGCATCCACAACAGCTTTTAAATGTGTGGGAATAGATTTTACTAGTTTTTTGTAATTTCTGTATCAATGTTCATCCATTCTTCCATCATGACTGTTTTGAGTTCGCTTTTCGTTTTGATGTTGTATTTTCGTACTTTAACCTCCAGCTCATTCCAAATGTGTTCTATGGGGTTTAAATCTGGCTACTGAGGTGGTGGTTTCAAAACCTATGAACAATTATAGAGACACTACAGGCGAACGTTGAGAGTCGTATACGACTTAGGATCGTTATCATGATTAAAAATAAATTTGTTTCCAATACCCAAATTTTGGGCTGACAATTTTAAATTGTCTCTTAAAATATTTAAGTAAAGAGAATGATTCATTATGCCATCAATAAATACCAAATTACCCTAGTCCTGATGCTCATACCCCCCCCCCCCCCCCCACTCAAGAACACTTCCACCGCCATGCTTAATTGTTCCAACTAAGTTCTTAGAATGAAGTTCCTCATTTTTCTTCTCGATACAGTTATTTGACAATCGGAACCAAACATGTTAAATTTGCTTTCATCAGCAAATAGGAAAATAAAGTTTCACTATATTTAAAAAATATTTCATGTAATTTTGTTACGAATTGATTATAGATCTTATTATTAAAATCACATTCAGAAAGTTTACTTTTAATTAATGAATAGAGCCCTATTTCAATGAAAATCATAAGTGTATGAACACTTTTGGGAGCCACTGTATATGTAAAACATATACACATAGGTTGCAGCTTAGTTTTTTTTAATATAGAAGTAATAGATGCTACAGAAAAAAATTGATGGCATAGCAAATTATTTATATTAATCAGCATTTATTATGATATGGAAAAACTGGCATTAGTGATTTCTAACAAACAGTATAGCTTTGGCAAGATCTTCTTTGTTAGAGGACTATAGATTCGATTAGATAAACTTCAGAGTCTTTCCACACTGACATGAGTAGGAAGAAGAGCTGTTACTGTTAGGGCTACTTCTTTTAACTTTTTAGTCTAGATTTTTAGAAGTTCTAAAAGAGGTGTTGTGCTAGAGCACTCATATTTCTCTATTTTTTCAAAGGTCATACAGAAATTTTGTTTGTATTTTTTTTTTTTTTTTTTTTTTTTTTTCTTCATTCTTAATGAAAGTTCATAGATGGCTTTCTTTGCCTTTTTAATTTGTTCATCATCTAACAAAATTTGGTGTTTGGGATCTGCATATATTGAACCTAGCAAGATCTCACTGTCTAGCACAAAAAAGACAAATAGGTTTCTTTTTTCTTCTTTGAAGAAGTTATTCCTTCTGCAATAAACCCTCCATTTCAGAAAGAGCAAACATCACATTCCTCCATTCTTGTCTCCATGTTAATTCTTCAGTTTGTAACTTTTTTGTGGTAGTTGTTTTTGTGGAAGAGTTTGCAATTCTACAGGCTTTCTGTTAGTGAAACATTAGGGTTATCTACATCTTCTAAAAATGTTCTTAATTTTAACAACCTGTATAATGTACGTCCTTATCTCATTGCTTGATCAATAATTGCTCTTTTTCCTGCTAAGAATAGCATCAATTTTGGGAGTTCTTGCTGCTATTGCTGCTTACCTAAATTTACCAGTCAGATTTGTAACTAAATGAAGTAGTTTAATCAATAATGGCTAATATCACATCCATTCTCCTCCCTTATATTTATTAATATATTAATATAATAGAAAATAACTATTTATTAATGTGTATAGTTCATAAATAAAAATAACAACTCAGTTTGTCATTAATTAATTGTCAATTCACTTTAATGTCATTTCAAATTCAAACTGTCCAGCATAAACTGGAGTCAGAGTTGGAGTCGATGTGTTTTTATTGACTCTGACTCCTTTTACCCAAATATCTGCCTAACTCCGATTCCGACTCCACAGCCCTGCTTATAATGGCTACTAAGTAAACCTTCATTTACACACCAGTCAAATAATGCACTTATCCCCTTTTGTTCCAAATTGTACAGAAATTTGAAATTAATTTCACCACATTCAGGCATTTTTACCATCTAAACCACAAAACAAGCAATGGACTTCCTAACCGACACACACCACGAGCTCTTGCAATTCTTTTCCCATCATTCAAATTTCCCGCAATCACACAACCAATTATGTCATAATAGGGCTTCCATAACGTTCAACTACTCAGGTTACCATAACGAAAGAACAATTTCGTGATAAATGAAACAGCTTCGCGATACAAGGGGCACCCTTAAATCATCTCCACCACTCACTTTTTCAGAAAAAAAAAAAAAAAAACATTTATGATGCCAAATATAAAGAAATGAAATGTATCCCATTTCTTTCATTACCATTTTTTCAAAAAATTCTTTTATACTATTAGCTAAAAATTCATTGGAAATTCTTCTTAGTTTTCTCCTTGTTTGTCTTTTTTTTTTTTTTTTTTTTTTTTTTTTTTTCTCTCCCCAATGATAAGCTTTATTAGAGATTCTGCAGCTTCACTTGTTTTCTCAATTGTAATCACAAAAATGAAGTTACTGTAATCATGTACTGCTGTCAGAAAATAACAGCTTTACTTCTATCTGTTGACTTCTTGATCGGTCCAACTAAATCTATGCATCGCAATTCTAAAGTATCTTCAGATTGTTTGTATTTCACAATTTTATAAGTTCATGTCATTTTTACTAATGTTAAAGATTCACAAGTGTTTTTGAAAATTTTTATGTCCTCTATAAATGACTGATGAGTTTTCATTTCAGTCAGTCTTTACTAGTTTAGATAACCTAATCTCAATACTGTAATATGTCATTCACATTACTAATTTTAATATATTCTATTATGTTTCCTTCAACTTCAGATTTATTTCCATTTCTGTTAGCTATATATTGAATATTTCCATGTTGATCGATCTCTTCTTTGGTCTTGATAAAAATGATGTTTAAATTGTTGTCTTCTGTTTTTGGTACTAACAATAAATTTT